ATCATATCACATCAACATTTAATGTGTTTACAGAGAGGTTCCAGCCTCCCCCTGGAAAACTGGGGGATATGTAAGCATCAAAATGAATAATAACTATAATTGATAGTACATTTATTTAAAACATTAGAAAGTCTAGGACCCTAGCCCAGGGAATAGTCTCACCTTCACAAATCTATGCTAGGAATTCCCTCACAAATGTTCCCAGAGGCTCTTTACAGTATGATCCCAGATCTTACCAAGTACACGGCAATATTAACCACCACAAATGCTTTTTAATCCTGATCAATTTTATAATAAATTAAACACCTAATGACGTCCAAAGTATTCAAAAAATGTTTCTGTATTTGAAAGAAACAGATGACTTTTGAAAACTATTGTGTTGTGGTCTGAGACCCCATCTCACGGACACCCACACTGGTCCATCTTAAGTCGTGTGTCCTTTTCACGTTGGCTTCTTTGTCCTTTGAACGATATTCTAGGTATGCTTGATGGTGTTTTTCTCATACAAAAATATATCTCGGGTAAGATTTTCTGCACAGTAGGAACTTACTGATCCTAAAGAATTCCTTATTTCGTTGAAATTACAAAGACCACGATCTAGGCACTAGCTATTCCCCCTGCCCCCGGCTTTATGAAGTATAATTGACATCTGCCAGTTGTCAGTAGAAATCCGTGGCTGTAACTTGCTGTCCTCATCCATTTTGAAACCTTTGGGGATGCACTTCAAAGCTTGACAGTGAGTGATGGCGGGCTGCGATTCTCAGTCCTGCCCACTTATTTAGCTGTTACCACTTCCATTTCATCGAGGTGCAGTTCGTCTGTGGTGTAGTAATGCAATCGCGTGAAGATTAGATCTGAGTTTAGAGGGAATACAGATTAGGTTTTTAATACTTTACAAAAATAGGATCTTTTCACCTTACATTTGTATAAAACGCTTTCTATAAACATGTATATATATATATATATTTATATAAAGTTATAATTTGCACAAACCCAAACAACATAGCACAATTCTCCCATTTTAGGCTGACTTTGACAAGCCACGTAACCACCACTAGCTGATATACACCCTTTTTATTGCACCCCCAAACCTGCTTTGGATACATTAAAATCACAGCTCCACACTTGCCCCTGCACCCCTTCTCTGGTTTCACAGTCCCAAGCACTCACCAGGTTGCCATTACAATCAAACAGTTAAAATAAGCAGATATTGGACTTGCATTTGCTGTATACCTCAGGCCTTCCCAGTTTGGAGGCAATAAGAAAAACAAAAACAAATCGAACAAACAAAGCCCTGTACGAATAATTATGAAGAAGAGAGTTGGTTTTCACTTTTCTTGGGTAAACGTCTGAGGATAGAACTGAGGGACCCTGACTGTTTCTCATTGTTGTCTTGAAACACTCTGACCAAGAGACTTACACGGGAGTTCATTCTGGCTCACAGTTCCAGAGGGAGAGTTCATAATGGCAGGGGCAGGGGGACATGGCAGCCGGCAGCCAGAGCGGGAAGCTGAACAACCATTTTCAAACATTTGTTCCATAGCTTTACAGATATCACCAACCAGAGATCGAATGCTTAGTAGATGAATCCACAGGAAGACTTCTCTACTGCAGACCCTACAGTAAGTCTGTATTTAATTTATAAGAAGCTGCCAATCTCTCTTCCAAAGTGCCTGCACTATTTTTTTTGTAATAATAAATTTATTTATTTATTATGTATACAATATTCTTTCTGCGTATATGCCTGCAGGCCAGAAGAGGGCACCAGACCTCATACAGATGGTTGTGAGCCACCATGTGGTTGCTGGGAATTGAACTCAGGACCTTTAAAAGAGCAGGCAATGCTCTTAACCGCTGAGCCATCTCTCCAGCCCCTATTTTTGTCTATTTATTAGCAATGTACAAGAACTCCAATTACTCCAGGTCTTCAACAGTTAGTATGAGCGGTCTTGTTGTTTGGCATGTGGTCTAAGCATTCATTGTACAGAAACCTGATCCCTATTGTAGTTTACGAGATTTGACCTACAGTGTTTGGTGTTTGGAGGGAGGGCCTTGAATAAGGTCATTGGGTGGACCCAGCGTAGGTCATTGGGTGGACCCCGCGTAGGTCATTGGGTGGACCCCGCGTAGGTCATTGGGTGGACCCCGCGTAGGTCATTGGGTGGACCCCGCGTAGGTCATTGGGTGGATCCCGCGTAGGTCATTGGGTGGACCCCGCGTAGGTCATTGGGTGGACCCCGCGTGACTGTCTGGTGGTTTGACAAGGGGTACACATTCATCTGGTTGCTTCTGTCCCTCTAGACAGTGAGGTCCTCTAAGAAGGCCATCACTGGGTGTTGTTGGGAGCAGTGAAACCCCAGATCCTGAATTTCTTGTAAACAACTTGTTTACCCCTGATCTGAGTGCCTACAGCTGCTCTGAGCACGAGACCTTCAGGAGAGTGGTTTCTGGTGCATTTGGCTGGGGTGTGGCTATCTCTATATAAGCTGCCCCCGGACACAATAAAGGGGGCATTCTTGGGGCATTCCTGTTTTAAGGGTTCTGGCATCAAGGATGACCTATGTCTCTGTCTCTGTGTGTTTCAATCTCCAGTCCCTTGTCCGGCTCACGAACTGTATGGCGGCACATAGGCCGTGGTGCACCGCACGGCATGGGCGCCGCAGGGTGTAGCTGTTCAACCTTGACCTGCCAAACTGCCCAAAGTAAAGCCCGAGGTCTCACCCGGTTTGATTGTTGCCATCCCCAGAAATCAAGAGCGAAGCAGCAGTGGTCGCAAGCTATCCTGGTGGGTTTGCAGTGTTTTGTGTCTTATTGGTATTCAGGATGTCTGGTGCTGACTTCTTCAACTCTGCCACGCTGGTCACCGGTTCCTTATTGAACTCAAAGGGTTATTTGCTCATTCCCGTCATGCCTTTGCAAGATTCGTGCACGGTAAGCAATTCCTTTCAACCGGGAACTGCTGTCTAAGAGCAATTTCAGCGTATTAAATTCAAGATTAAAAATCTCTTTCTTAGGCCGGACGCTGGTGGTGCACGCCTTTAATCCCAGCACTTGGGAGGCAGAGGCAGGCGGATCTCTGTGAGTTCGAGACCCGCCTGTTCTACAGAGCTAGTTCCAGGACAGGCTCCAAAGCCACAGAGAAACCCTGTCTCGAAAAACCGAAAAAAAAAAAAATCTCTTTCTTAGTTATGTTTACCATCACATAGAGCAAAAATTTCTCTTGCTTCTTTCTAGAATTTCTATTTATGGCTTTTAAGTCTATCATCATCCTTTTTTTTTTAAATCTGAACTTTGCCCCAAAATTGTGAACCAAGAGTTTAATCTCCTTTCCTGTAGGAACATCAATTGTTCCATTTGTTGAAAAAAAATTCTTTTCCTTACTGAATGACGTTGATACCTTTGTAAAATCAGTCGGCTAAGTGTGTTTGGTTCAATTTCTGAACTCATTTTGTCCAGTGGTCCACAACAGTTCTTAGGAAACGTGTCTGTTAGTAACACATTTGTTCTTAGTTTCCCTCCGAAAGCCTTCGGTCAGCTCCACTGTTTATAAAGGTAGCACTGTGTGCCAGTGTTTAAAGGTGTCATCCCTTATCCCCCCTGCAGCAGGAGAGAAGTTGGTATTCACTTCCAGCTTGGGGTGTGTATGGAATATCTGCTCCCCAACCCCCAGCTCCTGCATTCCGGATGTTCCTGCAGTATTGCCTGGTTTCTGATGGTGTCATTGATAAACCAGATGAGATTGTTTTTTAAAATGTACAAGCAGCTGAGAAACGCTGAACGGGAGAAACAGCCTTCCCCAAGGAAGAGCCTCTCAATCCATTGCCCAGTGCCTAGTGGTCAGTCCTGGAAACATGCATACAAGTAACATTATACAGACTGCAACAATCAATGAAAACCAGGCTGTGAATTTGAGCAAGGAGGGGCAAATGGGAAGAGTTCAAAAGGGACAAAGGGGAGGGAGAAACAATGGCATCATAACCTCAGAAATAATAGAAAAAGAATTAACAATGTGTTACCGTGCTTGCTGAAGTTCCTGGCTCTGTTGGTTTATGGTTTTCATCGATTAGGAAAACCCGTAGCTATTTTTCCCTAACATGTTTTATTTATTTATTTTTTTTGTCTCTCTACCCCAGCCTTTAGCCTTTAGTTCAAAGCCAAGCATATAAGACTGTCTCCGTGCACTGGCTGGAACACTGCTCCACCCTGGACTCTGTGCTCCTAGGTTTCAAGTTCCCTAGGGGATGTTTGGTTCATTTTTGTAAATTAATGTTTTATCATATCAAGTACTGAGTTACACACCACACGCACACATACATGCTGATACACACACGTATACACACACACTTCACTCTATCCACACTCATCTCTGCCCCTACCCTCCTGTACCCTCTCCAGCCCTCTTCCTTCCCCATCTTAAACCTCCCTTTCAGTTTGACATCCTGTATCGTGTATGTTCTATTATCACGTGTGTATCACGTGTGTTCTATTATCCTCCTCCCCACATCTTCCTCCCCTCTTTTACTACCCTTTCTACTTCCATGGTCTACACCAACACACACAGATTTAAACCTTGACTCCGCATATAAAAGATGTGTTTTTAATCTGAGTCTTATTTCACGAGACAACGACATCCAGTTCTATTTTCTCTCAAGTGCTGTGAATTCATTCTTCATTACAGCCGAATAAAATCCCACTGTATGTTCTTCACATACTCGTGTGTATGTACTGCGTTCTCTTCATGTGCTCGTGTGGGTGGACATCTGGGCTGGCTCCATTTCTTCACTGTGGTGAGCAGTCAATCTGGATAGGAATGAGACCTAACATCTTACAGAAACCTGGATTGTTAGAGACATGTAAGTAGTTCCAATAATTCATGTCTAAAAAATTGGTCTGTGACAAATGTACATATAAAACATTAGAACACCACCAATGTGGTGCTGCAGTTCTGTGTTTACATGTGCACATATGTGACATTGGATGACACTGAACACAATGTGGTGCTGTTGTTTACATGTGCACATATGTGACATTGGATGACACTGAACACAATATGGTGCTGCTATTATGTTTACATGTGTACATATGTGACATTGGGAAGACACTGAACACATGTGGTGCTGTTGTTTACATGTGTACATATGTGACATTGGATGACACTGAACACAATGTGGTGCTGTTATGTTTACATGTGTACATATGTGACATTGGATGACACTGAACACATGTGGTGCTGTTGTTTACATGTGCACATATGTGACATTGGATGACACTGAACACAATGTGGTGCTATTATGTTTACATGTGTACATATGTGACATTGGATGACACTGAACACAATGTGGTGCTGTTGTTTACATGTGTACATATGTGACATTGGATGACACTGAACACAATGTGGTGCTATTATGTTTACATGTGTACATATGTGACATTGGATGACACTGAACACAATGTGGTGCTGTTATGTTTACATGTGTACATATGTGACATTGGATGACACTGAACACAATGTGGTGCTGTTGTTTACATGTGCACATATGTGACATTGGATGACACTGAACACAATGTGGTGCTGTTATGTTTACATGTGCACATATGTGACATTGGATGACACTGAACAGTGTGGTGCTGTTATGTTTACATGTGTACATATGTGACATTGGGATGACAATGAACACGACACCAATGTGGAGCTGCCATTCTGTGATTTACTTTGACCCTCTTTAAAGAACGCTACCAATCTGTGGAAAATGCTTTATTGTATCATGTATGTCTATATACTGCAAGAAATATTTCCAAATACAAAAGTCATCCACAGACTTAATTAAGTGAAACTCAAATGATCCAGAAACATCTCTTCTTTAGTTTCCACAGCAATTATTAAGAGTTCACGCCCTGATTTTTTTCCAGAAAGATTATTCCAGCAGCTTCGAGTGTTCGATCCGTGCAATTGTCCAGTCGGGCTTTACTCCCTGTGTGAATTCTCTCTGAAATCTAGGAAAAACAGAACAAATACTGCGATCTTCCATCAACTCAAACGTTCAAAAACAACTCGCAAGCATGGATTAAAAGCAGTATTTAAAAAGAAGCTAATTTAATGGTTAATGATAAGTCACAATTAAAATATTTACTCTTAATTTAGTCAGAACAATCCCACAGCACTGAAGTGCAGTCTTAATTCCGCATTCCTAATGGTCTGTTCTTTATTCAACACCCACCAGCCCTAACAAGCTCGGATCTTGTTATTAAATACTCACTAAAGTACATGCTAAAGTGAGCAGAAGCAAACTGGGCTCTGGGTATGCAAACTCACTTTAAATATCAGCATATAGGAAAACCCACACTGTTTTCAATTTAGTGGAAAATAGTGGAATTTGATTCAGTTCCTATACATCAAATCAATCTTTCAAGCATCAGGTTTAAAAAGATTTATTTTATTCTGAAGTATGTGTGTATGCTTCTGTGTGTGAGTGTGTGCATGTGGATGAGGGTGCTCACGGAGGCCAGAGACATCAGCTCCCCTCGTGGACCACACACGGTTGTGAGGCCAGGACCTGCACCTGGGTCCTCTGCACAAGCAGGGTGTGCCCTAACCATAGTCTCTCCAGGCCCCAGTCTTAGCATTTTTGAGCCACATTGGTCTTAGAAGGAATATTACAAGAAACAAAATTTAGTACTGATGACACAGATCTTAACTATAAACAGGCATTTTAAAAGAGGTGATTAATAGATTTAAATTAAACAAGTATTTAATATCCATTTTCTGCAGTGAAAACGACATGCACAGCCGTACTTACTCATAGCTGGCGCTAAGCAGCTGTTTAGTCTGCACGTTCTGATCCCCCAGCTTCACCTGGAACACACTGGCTCCACTTAAAGACTCACTGGGGATGTCGGCACTAGTCAGATACCAAAAGCACATCAGGATGTTAACGAACTTCCTTCCTTAGAGAGAAAACACACACACACACAGCACACATACAAATCAGAATAATCTAGCAGCTTCGTAGCCATAACAAAATCAGAAACAGGCAGATCAGCCTTTGTGCGTCCTCCAGATAACTCCAGATGTGTGAGTAAATGCCATTTTCTTTTTCTTGTGTCCTCTCTGCATCTCAATAACCAATCTACTGTCTGCTAATCACGTGCTTTACTGAGTGAAGCAGACGGATCATTCTCAACTCACACCACTTCCTAAACTAAAGCAATCTTAAGGCAAATGCCTGCCCTACCCCACACCTACAGTGCTGTCCCGACTTCAACTGTTCCAAAGGCCTCTGTTCTTTGACTCTGCTGTGCCCTAAGTCTCACAGTGTCTGTGTAACTCGGTTAACAACAAGGGTGCTAACATGGAATCTGAAATGTCAGGAAGGATAAAATATCACCCCAGATACCTTTCCACGTATTTCCAATCAACCTGCATGCGAGTTTATCTATGAAAGGTCCGTGCTGTCACTGCCTGAAAGGGTATGAGCAGAGGTTATCCCTCCGTGTGCCTGCCTTGGGATGCATACATAGGAAAGCTGTAATTGGACCGATGAGTCAATGAACTTTTGGGTGTGCTATTGGAAAATTCATGTACTGGAAGAGAAACAGATAACTACCAGAGTTCTTCCAGCTTTGCCACTATTGCCTAATCAATCTGGGAGTTTTATAATCTTCTTATCCGTCTTTATCTTCTGATGCTGTTTTGGTTTTGTTTTATACTTTATTCCTTCCTTATAACACACAGCTAGAAATGTAAAATACTCAAGTGTTTTCTACACTTTAGGAAATCCAATATATAAATATTTTTATTTGAAACATGGAACAACCTGTTTTTTTTTTGTTTTTGTTTTTGAGACAGGGTTTCTTTATAGCTTTTGTGCATGTCCTGGAACTAGTTCTTATAGACTAGGCTGGCCTTGAACTCACAGAGATCCACCTGCCTCTGCCTCCTGGGTGCTGGGATTAAAGGTGTGTGTCGCTGCCTGGCTGGGAGCAGCCTATTCTAAACAAACTATTTTCATCAACATATGTGAGAATTCTTTTTTTTTTTTTTGTTTTTGTTTTTGTTTTTGAGATAGGGTCTATGTAATCCTGCCTGGCTTTCAACTCAGAGATCCTCCCACCTCTGCTGGGATTAAAGGTGTGAGCCATCACACCTGGCCCTGGGCTTTCCTACTGTATAGTAAACAGTAGTAACCAGGCAGAGATCTAGCCAGAACCTGCTACCAGGGACTAACTCTTTCCAGAGTTAGGTATTTAAACAGCAAATATGGTATAGTTTTTCTTTCTTTTAAAACTCCTATTTCTTCATTTATTACGTATACATGATTGGTTCTACAAACTAGAAAAGTGATACAGGCTTTGAAGGACTACAAGCATCTGCTCACACAGACCTAACTCCCCTGTCCTGTGGCACCCACTGTTTCAGTTTACTTGAACAATTGACGGTCATAAAGTTGTCTCGGCCAGCGTTACCTTTCTCGTCATAGTAGATAGAGATGTCTCCTGCTGACGTGTAGACAATGTCATCGACATCGGCAGCAAGGGCACTTTTACGGTTATCAGACAGCGAGGTGACCTTTTCTTTTAATACCTGAAGCACCTGAGTGGAAAAAAAAAAAACCAGAAGTTTATCCATTTAAGTTTTTAGAGCATTTTAAAAAGTGGTATTTATCATGGAATTCTCCAAAACCCATTTTAAAATATTCTGCCTTATCTACTCATCCTCAAGAATAAAAGTTATTCAACTCGATAATTACTGATAGAATGTGAGACTATGTATCATTCTATTGCAAGAATCATACACTTTTTAAATTAAAAGGAAACTTTACCTCTTTGGTTACAAGTTCTTCCAATAGATCAAATTTACACTGTGACAGCAACTTAGATACATGAGCAAAAGCCTTGAAAAAAAAAAAAAACAGAAGGGTAAAGATGACAATTATTTCAAAAAATCATATGAAATACCATACAACATACATACTTGAGTAATTACTGTAACAAAGATGTGCTCTATGGTGACTACTGCAGTAACGCTGGGTCTGGCTGCTATTGTGAGGGGACTGACTACTCTTCAGATGGTACAGCCACAGACATAGTTGCAAATGAGCTCACTACTGCTGTGGGGCAAGGGTCTGTACCCTGTCACTTGTGTTTTAAATAAATGCTGACTGGCCAGTAGCCAGGCAGGAAGTAGAGGAGGGGCAACAAGAATTCTGGGAAGAGGGAAGTTTCATTCTGCAGTAGTGACCCAGACACAGAGAAAGAAGATGTGACTGCCTTGCCAAATAAGGTACCGAACCACGTGGCTAACTCAGACAAGAATTATGGGCTAATATAAGTTATAAGAATTAATTAAGAAGAAGCCTGAGCTACTGGGCCAATCAGTTTATAACTAATGTAAACCTCTGTGTGATTCTTTGGGACTTAACAGCTGCAGGACTGGGCAGGACAGAAAACCTCAGTCAACAAACTACTAATTATGAACCCATTTTTTACGTCCTGGGAAATGACAGTGTGCGGCAAATATATATATAGTAGATATCTCAATTAAAAATTACTGTGTGTTTTTAAAATGATGATGTAAGTAACTATGATCTACCTCTTAATCATTTATAGTCAATGATGAGAAAGTAGGGCACTCTATAGTCTAGGCTGGAAGTGCAGAGCTGAACAATAGACAGAACCCCTGGACGAGATATAACATAGGTTAGGGGAAGGGGGAGAGAAGAACCAGTCTCTCATCTCTGCCAGGGAACCTCAGCATCCACTCTGAGGTCTTGATTTAAGGCGGGAAGAGAAAGCACACTCTGTACACTCCCGGCAATGAGGGAAGTTGGCGTATTCTGATTCTGCTTGTGTTTCAGGAGCCCTCAGTCTGCCGAGAGGACAATTTCAGGAATTACCAGAGGGCAAGAAGAGTGGGCATGAGAAGCACTGTATAGTATTACTGGTTCAGCTGTCCTCCCTGTCAGGCTTATGCTGAAGCCCAGAATTCTCCCTGGGATTGTGACTCCATCTGGAGACAACCCCTTAAAGATGTGACTGGATAAATCTCTAATGTGTGTGCAATATGACTGGAACTATGGACAAAAGGGACTATCACCACTACGCAAAACCCTCATCTCTAGTCTGTGTGCTCAAAATCATACCTAAGAAACTGCCCTAAACATTAAAAATCATGAGTCTACCCTGCAAGATCTCAGACATGGGAATGTCTACCTCAAAATATTTCTGGAAACAGCCTTCTTTTTCACTGAAAGCACTGAACAACTGTACAAGAAAGCTTTAAGAAATAGTGCATGGCTCAACAGTAGTTAGGAAGACAAAGTTATTTTAATGTAAGGACAACTAGTGGGTGCATTAGAATATGTATTCCCTTATCTCATGATAAACACTTGCCTAGATTATATGTTACCCATTGAAACGCTGATGTGTGTGAATACTTTGCCTGCATGTACGTCTGTGTACCACGTGAGCACAGTGTATCTTCTGAGGCTGGAGGATAGGGTGAGATTCCCTGGAGCCAGAATTACAGACAGTTGTGAGCTGCCACGTGGGTGCTGGGAATGGAACCTGGGATCTCTGGAAAAGTGGCCTGCGTTCTTTAACCAGTGAGCTCTTTCAGTGTGGTGACAAGCACACTAAATTTAACCTTTCTAAAACCTGATTTCATAGTGTCTAAAAGAGGATTAGACAAGAGGGCCTTTCAATTTCACGTTATATGAGGATGTCCATCCCTGACACACGCATGCACTAGTGCAGTCGTGCCTGGACGATCAGGTAGACTCACACATGGGCACTGCAAAGTGCAGGATCACACCGATGTACCTCTACGTGCACAACGGACACAGCACACTGACTAGCAAATGTATCCTTCACCCTAATGTTGGGGTGGGCAATATTACTTAAGCTGGCTCCTTTTTATTTTTTGTGTAAACACACGTACTAGCCAAGAGTTGATTCAAGGACACTAAAGTTAACGCTGACACTGATTACAGGAAGTTGAAAACACTAATTTCTAACTAATATATCACATGGGAGTTCGTTATCTATGACTACGAGATGAAAGAAAATCTGAAATAGGTCAGGAGTAAAAGTATAAATACCATCATATAGCTAATTATAGTCAGTGTTATTAAATTATGCTTAATAAGTTTTGGTCTTTGGCAATATGAACTGGGGTTTAGATAAACAATGACTTTTCCCTTTGTTGTCCATCAATAGTTCTCTGAAATGCCAGGAACTGACCAAGAAAGCTGAAGGGAAAAATTAAAATAGCCTTCCGTCCTTGAAAGAGAATCGCACACACAGAGTCTGGATTCAAACTTAACCGAGCCCCTCCTTCTTGACGACCACACAAACACACCTAGCTGCTTATTAACGTCAAGAAGAGGCTGAAACCTTAAGTGTCTGGGTCCCTACCATCGTTTGGTAATTCGGGCTGCAAAGAAGTCGTTCACAGCTAAAATCTTGAGCATGTCAGGGCGGAAACGCATGAGGCGCCCAGGTCAGGGGAAGCCAACCAACCTGCTTCGCCCCCTCCGAGAACTCAGCGATGCTGAAGTCCTTGTCGAAATAGGCCCAGATAAGGAAGGCGTAAATTCGAGTCCGGACCCAGTTGATGGGGTTGGAGAAGCCCAGAATGATCATCCTGGTTTTCTGGCGCTGCTGGGGCTGCTCCTCGGTGCTGTAGCTGCGGCTGGGAGCAGCGGGTAAGGAAGCGAGGGACGGAGGGAGTTCTGCCCGGCGGAGCAGCGGCCTCCGGGGGCCCCAGGGGCGCAGCGCCGGGCTCGACAGGACCCAAGTGCAGCGAGGGATCGTGGCCGCGCTTGAGCCCAGGCGGCGGCGGCACAAGCAGCAAAACTCAGCCAACGACAGCCTCACCTCGGCGGCGCCGAGAGTCCGGAGTCGGGTGGCCCGGCCGGGCAGAGGCAGGAGACGGGCGGCCAGCGCCATGTCTGTGACCTTTCACCTCTGCACGCCTGTGCAGTCCCGAAAGGAGGCCGGAGGGAAACCAGCTCCGCGGTGCCGGGGAAAGGGAGCCAAGGGCGCCTGTTGCCGCCACCTCTGGTGAGTCCGCCCATCGCGGCTGTGTCACAGGCCGCCCAAACAGCAGCCAACCCAGGCAGCCGGCCTCGGGCTCCCCCGACCCGCGTTGCGAACCAGCCGCCCTCTGGCGTCCATCACCTTGGCGGCCCTTTTCTCGCGGGGTTGTGTTTCCGGGAGGATCACTCGCGCATGGACACGTCCTCCCGGGGAAACCAGCCCGGGCCCAGGATGGCGGAGCAGCGCCTTCCGGTACCCCGGCTTCGGGGAGTCTCTCGGGAGCAGTTCCTGGAGCATCTCTATCCACAGGTGAGGAGCCCGCGGCGGGAAGATCTACCGGGGCTCCCGTCGGCTCTCCTGCGACCCCAGTGTGGAGGGCGGGGACGGCCGCGGCACGCCGAGTGTGAGACTTTTCCGGCCTCGCTTGCTCCTCTTATATGGGGTTTTCTAAAGTTTAGCATAGGATCCCCTCCCCGCACCCCCGATCCTCGCAGTCTCTATTTCGAGATAATAAATTTTTGAAGCGCCACATTTGAATCCAATGAGAGACGGGCAGCAGGGAAACCAATGGGAGTCTCCCCGGACGTTTCCTCTGGTACAGGTCTTTGATTTTAACTTGGATCGTGATTAAGGCTTAAACTAGCATTAGCTTTCAAAGAAGGAAAAAAACTAGCAGAAAGTAGTTTTTAAAATGAAAAGAAAAGAAAAAGGTTTGCTTTCAGGACGTTGCAAGATAGTCCAAGTTTCAGAAAAAGCAGTAAGGATTCTGGCGAATATTCAAAGGGAAAAGGTCTCTAAGGTCGTTAGTGGCAGTGTCGTGGGATCGCTGCGTGCGGCTGGACCAGCCCGCAGTGTGTGCACCTTTGAGAGCTCTCTGCTCAGAACACAGAATTCCTGACTACACTCTAGTGAAGGGTTTCTGATCGAGTCCATGTGAGGCAGAGTTTAAGTTTGCTTCAACAGAGAGATACTTTGGATGATCTAGTCTTATCGGGTAAAACCGTGGATCACTAAAGTTGCACACGGAGGTTAAGACCCGCCTTTTACTATCCTAGAAAATAGCTGGATTACAGGTTTGGGAGAGGAGAAAAGCCATACCTGGTTATATATGCTTTGGCCTTAGACATGATTTTTGCTATAATGTTTTTATTTGAAGTATTTCCTTATAAAAAGGAATACTGTCTTCATGTAGGCAACCTCCCAGCGAATTTTGTTAATTTTTGTGCTTGAATTTTTTTGGTGGGAGGTTTCAAGACAGGATTTCTCTGTGTAGCCCGGGCTGTCCTGCAACTAACTCTGTAGACCAGGCTGGCCTCGAACTCAGGAAATTCACCTGCCTCTGCCTCCCCCGCGCTGGGATTAAAGGTGTGTGCCACAGTGCCAGTCTAGCTGTGCTGAATTCTTCACTCTCAGCTGGTGGGAGATTTCAGACTGCAGGGCGGAGGTCCCCCATTGTTTTCCCCGTCTTTCTGCCTAGCCTCAGTTACAGTGTGTTTGAGGCAGAACCAAACGAACCGACAGTAAGACACAGAAGTTTTTAAATCAACATTTATGTCTGTGAACCAGGCAGGGTTCTCATTCCCGCAATGAGATACTAATTCTTACCACCTACATTGCCTAAGATTAAAGACATAATTTCCCCTTGGTGGGGGTGTATTGAACTAGCAGCCAAGTGATTTAGACCAAGTGATTGAACTGTTGTTACAGCTCACATGCTACGTGTTTACTTTATAACTCAGCAATTCTTAAAATTTATTTATCTGTATTCCTTGACAAAGAGGGAAATTAGATACATTTTGCTCATTTAGTCTTTGATACACGAAGCAATAAAAAAGAATAATGTGGGAACTGATAGCAATAATTTTCAAAGTATATGTTTTTAAACTTTTAAAAGGAAATGTAGTCTTTTGAGAGATGGGGAGGACAAAACAAATGTGTGTTTGGGCCACTTCAACAATAAAAGAAATACAGGCAATGGTTGTGCAAGTCTTTACACCCTTGGGAGGCAGAGGCAGGCAGATCTTTGAGTTTGGGACCAGCCTGGTCTACAGGGTGAGTTCTGGGACAACCAGTGCTACAGAGAGAAACCTTGTCTCGAAAAACTGAAAAGAAAAAAGAAGAAAGCAAGGAAAAAAGTAGTTAATCGGCTGTCTTTAGAGGATGAGTGAGGATGTGCTGGAAGAATTTGGTGATAGAGCTGGCTTTGAGGGGATTCAGATTAGTATTTTACATTCTAAAGTAATAATTAAAAAAAACCAACAAGCTGTGACCGGGCTGGGAAGAGACAAATGGATCTCTGTGAGTTCATGGTCAGCTTGGCTTACATAGTGAGTTCTAGGCTAGCCGTGCCTCCTTAGTGAGACTGTCTCAAAACAAAAACAAAAATTCAACAGAAGTGAGAAATGATTTAAAAACAAAATAACCCTAAAGTAGAAATAGCTGCATGGTTGGCAGCATGTGCCTTTAGGGGCAGGCTTATCTGAGTTTGAGACTAGACTGGTCTACAGAGTGAGTTCCAGTGGCCACCAAGGCTACACAGAAACTCTGTCTCAGGAAGAAAAAAAAGGGGGGGAAGAAAGGAAATAAGTAACAAGTGAGCCTGTTTGGTGGCTTTATGGGGTAAGTTACTTATAGCCCTGCAAAATAGCAGTTCTGAAACTGTTTTCTGGAAAAAAAAAAAAGTCTGGAGTTTTGCAGATGATTAAATATCGATGATGGGAAATAAGTTTTTCATTGTTGAACAAAAATTACAAACAATAAAGGCTAGACTTAACCTTGATGCTTGTATTATCCATAATACCTTAAGTTTATGCATATGTACATGTACATAGATGATGAGAGAGAAAGATATGTGATTGCGTGTCTAGATTTGTGTATTTGAAGGGTATACACACGCCCTTACATGTTTCTCAGCTCTTACTGTTGAGAAGACAGAAGTTATGATACAAAATGAAAAAGAGCCCCTGTATGGTAGATACATGTAATAAAAATACACTCTGCGCATAATTAAAATGTCAAAAGAAGAGTTCTCACTTCAGAGAAACCAGAGTTGCTCAAAGAAATGATGGATTGCAGGGCTGGACAGACTCAATGCAAAAGATACCTGGATTGTTTTATTTTGTTATAAAATAAGGAGGTTTTTAAAAGTTTTAAAAGTCACAGGAACCAATCCAAAGAGACCTACTGGTCACATCTGTGATGATTTAAGCATTAGAATTATACCAGTAAACTTGGAGGCAAGAGAGACTGAGTAAATGTTAGGCAGAATGTCATGTGCCCCCTTGTGCCCTGGGGGACTACTCCATTCCTCTCTGGGACAGTCCTTGCTCAGATTGCATAACCTAAAATCTAACCATGAAGAAACTAGATGAACCCAAATCCAGGGGACTCCAACAAAATTATTGGCCCATGTGCTCATAAATATTCAGGGAAAAGAAGACAAAGAAAGCTGATGAGCCAGATGAGAAGAGCTGTGACCCCTGAATCCGAGTGCTTCTCAGCCTGGATTCTGGGTCAGGGAAAGGAAGGAGAGGTGATTAGTGAGACTTAAACGTGTGTGGTGTTACGTAATAGCGTCAGCGTGAGGTGCATCTTGGGTAATTGCTCTGGAAGAGAATAGCCCGTTTTCAGAAAACATGCTTCAGTTTTAGACTGAGGACGTGATATTAACAATTTCACTGTGAAGTGGTTCAGGAAAACTGTGAGTTAGCAGCTGATAGCGCAGGCGGGCTGCACACTGAAGAGTCAGGTAGACCAGATGGACGCTCTCACGTTCGTGCATTGTTGTCAGAAGTGCTAAGTGATAGCAAAATTAAAAGCTACAAAAACGAAGTAAAATTTAAGTATATTTTGCCATAAATAACATGAAAATATTTCATATTTGAATTTATCTGCTGACAAGGCTGTTTGTTTTCCTGACCTTAGGTTTGTTCTGGGTGTGTGATCAGGTGATCTTCGTGTCTGAGTCAGAGCACAAGCTGTTAGATGCTTTCAGTCGGAGCTCCTGCTCAGAGCCACCCTCTGACTCCACGGCAGCCCCCGTGGAGTGTTTGTTTTCACAGTTGTGTTTTTCCCTTCATTATAGAGGAAGCCCCTTGTGTTGGAAGGACTCGACTTGGGGCCCTGTACAAGCAAATGGACAGTGGACTACCTGAGCCAAACTGGGGGGGCGAAAGAGGTGAAGATTCACGTCGCTGCCGTCGCACAGATGGACTTCATTAGTAAGAACTTTGTGTATAGGTATTTTCTTCTGAGGTTACTCCGGGGACACAAATAACTTTCTTAAACCTTTGAAAATATTTTTACATCATTATATAAGACCATTCTGTGTCTCATCTTTAATCCAGTTTATGTAATCATGGAATAGCTCACTGCTTTTTCATGAGTGGCTTAAAAGACAAGAATTCCGAGTTTATATAACTGTACAGAGACATTTCCACAGTCTTATTCTTTTTTTTTTTAAATATTTATTTATTATGTATACAATGTTCTGTCTCTGTGTGTATGTCTGTAGGCCAGAAGAGGGCATCAGACCTCATTACAGATGGTTGTGAGCCACCATGTAGTTGCTGGGAATTGAACTCAGAACCTTTGGAAGAGCAGGCAATGCTCCTAACCACTGAGCCATCTCTCCAGCCCAGTCTTATTCTTCTACTATAGGGTGCGCCCTGTAGCCTGTGGAGTCATGGAACAGAGAATTTCTATTCTTGGAGTTAGGTGGCCTCTTAAGTTGTGTGCGGTGTTCGTCCAGTCTTTACTGCCCAGTGCAGGACGCTGTCTCAGGCTGGCGTCTCTTTCTGTCTCTGCACACCGTCTTCCACTCAGTAGCATTTAAACCCATGCTGAGCTTCGAGTGCTGGTAGTTCCGTGCTGGTTTTGTGCTGTGCACTCTAGCAGGTGAATCGGCTACTGAACGTCTACGTTTGGAAGCTGAAAATGTCATCCTGCAGATGTGTGTTGTTCATTCCCCCGAGAGTCATTAAAAATGGTAGATTAAAAAACAAACAACTTTCACATTCTGAGCCTGTGCAGTTCCCAGCAAATTAAATCTACTGAAAGACCCCATGTTCACAGATTCAGTTAGAGATGAGCTAAACGGGGGTT